GAATGTGGGGAAAGGAGGACCCTCACACACCGCTGGTGTGACTGCAAAACGGTGCAGCCACGGTGGAAAGCAGGGCAGTTCCTCAACAGGTTAAATGTAGGTTTCTTATATAAACCAGCAACTCCAGTCCTAGATAACAGCCAAGAGAACTGAACGTAGGAGCTCATACACTTGTACACACATGATCACAGCATTTCCGCAATAGCAAGAAGGTAGGAACAACCCAATATCCATGAGCAGGTGAATGAACAAAGAACAATGGGTTTTTCATAGTTGTACTGTGGAACATTACTTGGTGACACAAAGGACTGGGATTCTGACAGATGCTACAGTATGGATGAACCATGAGAACTTCAGACTAAGTAAGAAAAAGCCAGACACAAAAGACCACATAGGATTGTAGGATCCATGTATAAGTTACACCAGATTGAGTAGATCTATACAGACAGATATGTGATTTTCAGGGGTCTTGGGGAAAGGAATGGGGATAACTTTTTTTTTTAGTAACAGCTTTATTTTCAATAGTCAAAGTAGAGAAATAATCGCCCATAAAAAGATGAATAACGGGACTTAAAAATGACTTGATGGGTACAGGGTTTCCTTTTGGGGTGATGGAAAAGTTTTGGAACTAAATACTGGTTATGGCTATACAATGTGAATTCCAATGTCACTGAATCGTACACTTCTCAGTGGTTAAAATGGTAAACTTTGTTATGTGTATTTCACCATATTAAAAAGCAAAACCCACACTCAGAGGGAGGTGACTACACCAGGGGGTGCCACTCATGGGGCACACTTTAGAGTCTGTCCCCACCATTTTTATTCATGATACTTTTTTTTACTCTATTTATACTTTTTGTCTTTAAAGTCTGCGTGTGTGATCTGTATCCTTTATTTGGATCAGTTAAGCCACTTAGAATCAATGTAGTTAACATGTTTGGTTTTATTGATACCATGTTATTCTGGGCTTTCCATTTGTTACACCCATTCTCTTTTCCTCTCTATTTTGTTTTAGGATATTTTAGCATTCTCCTTTTTCCAGTTAGTTTGGAAGTCATACACTCTGTTTCTATTATTGTATGTTTACCAGCGAATTTACAACAGGCATACTTTCACTGAGGTTGGCTGAGTAATGACCCTAAAGATCTCCAGTCCCCAGTCCCTGGAACCCGTGGATGTGACTTCATACGGCGCAAGGGCTCTGAAGATGTGGTTAAGGAGGCAGAGATGGAAAGAGAATTCTGGATTATGCAGGTGGGCCTAATGTCATCGGCCCCTGTGGGGGATTTGACCAAAGAAGGGTAGGTGCCTGTGGCTTGAAGTCAGAGGAAAACGGCCAGGAACCATGGAGTGTGATTCTAGAGTCTCGGGAAGCATGGAGAACTGGCCCTCAGAGCCTCCGGAGGAAGCAGTCCCGCTGCCGTCAGCATGGTGAGCTGATGACGGGGGGTCCCTTCCTAGCTGTAAGGGACATGTGTGTCGTTCTGAGTCATCTGTGTCACACCAGTAATAGGGAACTAACACGCCTACGAAAAGTCTGATGTTAACGAGCCCATCTCCCTGCCATGTGGTGCCGGACTGCAGAACTGACTGCCATTGAGTCCCTTCTGATTTAGGCATCATCGTCTGGTGTGTGATGTCTGTCTGGGTTTTTTTTTCTTTTTTAATCCTGGACGGTACTTTACATGCAGTTTTTACCGCTTTCTTCATCACCCATTATTACACGTCAGACTTCTCCTCAGCTCCCTCCCTTCTGCTGGAAGTACTTTGTTTGGTGGAGTTGGTGGGGAGGCAGGGGGGCCACCAGGGGCGCAGACATAAGGAGCTGCTCTTGTTCAGGATTGTGCCAGGGCTGCAGTCTGGATAATTTATTCTGACCTAATTTTTGGTTCACTAATTGTATGACTGGGTTTTATCTGTTGTTTGTCCTTCGAATTTTTACTTTCAATGACATTTTTCATTTCTTAAGTTCTTTTTCACATGTGCTGGTCACTTTTCTCCTGTGGGTCTCCCTGCAGATCCCGAAGATACTGTCTTCCATTTTTTAACCTCCCTAAGCATGTTTGGATGGAAATGACCTGGTGTCTTCAGTGCCCGAGTCTCCAGGTCTGCGCTGTCCGGTCGGCCTGCTGGGTCTCCCTGCTGGATGCGTCCTTTGTGTGCCAGGTGGGTGCGCTGCTGAGGGAAATGCCTTTAGGGAGGATTTATTGGCCTCCATCAGGCACTTGGGGCTGGAGGGAATCCAGAATCATTTTTAATGAAATCCACAGCCCAAGGTTTTCAGGAGGACCACTGTGACTATGTGAACTCGGGCTGCAAGATGCCCAGTGTCTCAGCGTGTGATTTCAGTTTATCAGGGAATTGTTTTCCTTTCCCTGAACACCAAGGTGATGGTTTTGTTTCTTTTTTTGTTTTCTTTTTTTCCCTTTCCCTGTGTTTGGGGAAAATTGTCTACTGGGTGTAGTCTTTTGGAGCTTCACTTCATGGGGAAGAGTCACCTACTAGGCAAAACCTTAAACTGACCCTTTTAACCTATGGGCCCATGAGGAAGGAAATCCCAGCTCAAGTTTGTGAGTTTTGGCAAATACCTCAGGCCACAAGTAGTGTAGGTGCTGGGATTACCTTTCTGACATCTCTTGGTGTTTGCCTGAAAATTACTTACCATCATGTTTGCTTTTTGATGCTTTTAGGAAGATTCAAGCCATTTTATCCAGCATTTAGTTGTCTACAAATCAAATTATAGCCTGTCTTCTCAGATTGGAAATGGCAGCTCAGAGCAAGCACAGCTTTGGAGCAGGACAGGGCCAAGACCTGAAGAAGGAGCTGGGTATATCTGGAGAAAGAGTCTTTACTTATTTTTCTTTTCCCTGCTAAAGAAAAATAAATAATGACAGAACAAACAGGCAAGTGATTTCAGTGTTTTGGATGGACTGGAAGTCTCCTACAGGTCTGTGAAGAAGGGCTGCTGTGGGTTAATCTGATGGTGAACACCACAGCAGAAGGCATAAAAGACACCAATAGCAACTCACACCGAGGAGTAGAGGCGGAACCGACATGGACCATTTTATTTGCAGGAGTCAAACAAACCACCTGGCAGGGAGTTGCAGAGGGATGCACACACTGGCCTCCTGCCCGTGAAAATAACAGAACACAAAAAGCCGTAGCCATGCCACGTACGCAAGACATTCCACTTCTACAGAAATCCCCCCAAGAAAATAACAGTATGTTTGTGCATAGAATTTCAGCTACACAAAGTGTTATGCAAATTATTTGTAATAAAGAAAAAGCACTGCTACTTGCCTGAGATCACATAAGGCACGGTGACAGCCTCCTGGTCTCCCTCTAGCCCCATGCCCGTGCAGCGTTGCCTTGGACATCTAGTGCGTATTGTTTCCAAGTTTCTTTCAGATCGTGTCGATGTAGAAGTGGATTCGCGCTGTGCTCATCGACCTGCAGTGTGCTTCGTCACACAAATGTCCTGGTGTTGTGCAGTGTCCGCCCAGGGGCTGACCTCACTGTCCTGGCTGTGCAGCTTCCCTGTGTAACGCTACTCCATTTTCTTTCCATTGATGAATGTGTTGCTTGCGCACCATATCTTCTTCTTTTCTATTTCTCTGCTCTAATAAACATTTCTGCAAAAAGCGTCAGTGTACATACATCCCTGTTTTATGTAGGGTAAATTCCCAGAAGCAGGGCTGCAGACTTAAAAGAGACTTTTCCCTCTTTGGATTTAAAGGATACAACCATTGGTGTGCTGGAGCCTTCTTGTATTGTCTTGTGTTAAATTTTCAGCAATTCTACTAGCTGGTTGTTAAATACAACCACTATTAAAAATTATCTTAATCTACAAATTTGTCATGTCAGAAACAAAGGTAATATTATCACTTCCAAATTGTTACTACATTATATGCTCTTGCTATCTTTGTTCATACCTCTCTTATATGAACAGTGTAAGTGCAACACAGTGCATCTCTTCCTACTTTCCTGTTCAGTGATAGCACATTAATGCATGAAATCAACCACGTGGAAACATGGAAATTGGCAGATCTTACAAATCAGCCCCTTCCCCCTTTTTCCAAGTGCCAGTTATTAAAGTTACCAGCTCACCCCTGTGTACAACTGGATTCCCCTCCCAAAAAAAGCGTATATGTACTAAGTTACACTTCCACCAGAAGTAGATTGGATCTCGCCTTTTTAATATTTTTTCGTGGTGGATGTTTCGTTAAGTTGTATGTCTGCACACACTGCAGATGTTGGCCATTGGTACACTGTGAGTTGCCTGTTTATCCTTTGGCTTATTTTGCTACTGGGTTGACTGGGAAAAAAAGGTGGATGGGAGTATGAGGAAAAATAATTTGGAGGTTTATCTTGTGTAGCAGACCTAACCCTTTGCCTGACGTTTATGGCAAATGTTTTTCTCCCAGTTCCTCTATTGGCTTTGCTTAAGATTTTTTTTCTCCCCATTCCAAGTTTTTATATAGTCCAATGTGTCTACTTTTTCCAGTGTCACTTTGAGAGCACCATTAAAAAATTTTTTTAAAGGAATTTTTGATATAATATACACTCTTATGAAGGTTTCACATGAAAAAACAATGTGGTTACTACATTTACCCATATTATCAAGTCCCCCCATTCCCAAAGCAGTCACTGTCCATGGGTGTAGTAAGATGCCACAGGCTCACTGTTTGCCTTCTCTGAGAAAGCATCCCCCCCTTTTGTTTTTTTTTATATCGTTAATGTACAATTACTTGAACAACATTATGGTTACTAGACTCCCCCTATTGTCAAGTAGAGCACCATTTCTTAAGAGAAACATCTCTGTGCCCAGGCCCTGAAAGGCTGTCGTCACGTTGCCTTGTCACATGCCTGCGTCTGTGTGGGGCGTGTCTCCGTGTGTGTCATGACCGGCTCCTGTGTCCTCCACCCGTTCTTAGTTTCCCCATGTGTCAAGGTGGAGTTGAAGGAATGATGGATGTGCCGGATCACCTAGGATACCCAGAAAGGTGCAGTAAGTAGGGTGGTTATTCTCTGGAGGGTCTGCAGCGCCCATGATTGATTTTATTAGGAAATTTTTAAATGAAGCTCTCCCATGGGTCTCCTTATAAAGTGTGGGGTGTAGGCGGGGCTCTGCGCTGGCTCCCTGGTCCACCTTGTATGCTGCACGACGAGGTCCTGAGGCAGGGCCCACCTCGTCCCCCAGGTTAGAGTGTCAGGCGAAGCTTTCACACCCACAGGAGGGGCGCCTTCCCTAAAGTTAGCCGAGGGCCCCCGCGGCCTGGACCTCACGGCGCACTGGGCGAGGGGGCCCGGCCTCCCTCGGTCAGAGGATCTCGGCGGCGGCAGCCCCCTTTGCCACCAGACCGAGCCTGGGCGCGCAAACCACAGAGAACAGGCGTGCAGGCTGAGGCTTGCTTTCGGGGACTTTACTCAAACACTGTAACCTCGGGAGGGAACGGCTGGGGGTCCCGCGACCACCCACCCCGTTTAGCAACCCTCGGAGACCAGCGCCGAGGTCACGTGGCTCAGAAACCTGTCCAGCGAGGCGTGCAGGGCGGCGCTGAAGTCTCCGGGGTAGTGCCGGGCGAGGGTCACCAGCAGGCAGTGGCCCAGGAGCTGCGGAGAGAGGAGTGGTCCCATCCGGGTGCGCCCACGTCCCCACCCTTCCCGGCGGCGGCGAGCCGCGGGCCCCGGGCTCACCTGGAAGTTGACCGGGTCCACTCGCAGCCTGTGCGCGTGCAGGTCGCGCAGAGCCGCCAGGACGCAGGGTAGGTCGTCCAGGTGGGCCACAGCGAGGGTCAGCATGTCGCCCACCTTCTTGCCGTGGGCTTTGACCTGGGCGGAGCCGGGACTCAGGTCCAGGTGGGGGAAGTAGGTCTTGGTGGTGGGGAAGGACAGGAAGGTCCTGCAGGGAGAGGAGGCGGTGAGATGCGCCGGGGCTTCGGGAGGAGGGGCATCGGAAGGCGGGGCGCCTCCCCGCAGGGCGGCAAGGCAGGTGGGCCCGGCGGGGGACCGTATGCACCTCTCCAGGGCCTCCGTAGCGTAGACCCCAACGTTGCCTCCCAGCTTCCTCCAGAACGCGCGCACCAACTCCCGGTCCGCGGCCAACAGCGCCATGGTGGGCGGCCACCCGCCGCCCCCCGCGCATGCGCCGCCCGGCCGCGCGTCCCGAGCCCGCCAGGGGGCGCCGCAGTCGCCCTGGACCCCGAGCCCCTGTTTCTGTAGTGCGCTCTGTATGGGAGCTGATATTATGTTCTATCATTACCAGGTAACACTGAATTGTAGCCCGGATTTTGGAACTGAACGGCAGCCTCTTACCTCCCTCCACCCTCAGTCTACTATGACACCTCCCTGAGTCTGTTTTCTCATTTATTATATAAAACGAAGATAACAATTTCTGCCTCCTCCCAATGTGGTTGTGAGAGTTAAGTGAGTAAGAAATGTCAAGTGCCTGGCTCTTAGCAGATGTTTGTTTTAGGACAACGAACGTTTATTGGGTGTCTCTGTATCCTAATAGTGCAACACTCAGTCTGCGCCCAGCACCGCTCTATACCCTTTCTGTTGTTGTTAATTGTGGTAAAATTCATTTAAGAAACTTTACCATCTTAGCCAATTTAAAGTGTACAATCCAGTGTCTTTGGTTACACACACATTGTTGGGCAACCATCACTACTGTCTGGATCCAGAACTTCTTCCTCGTTTCAAATAAAAACCACCCATTAGCAGTTGCTCCATAACCTCTCTCCAGCCCCTGGCAACCACCAGTCTGGTGTTTCTGTGGATTTGCTTGTTCCGGACATTTCATATAAATAAGAATCATACAATGTATGGTCTTTCGCGTATGGTTTCTTTCACTTAGCACATTTTCAAGGTGTATCCACCTTGTAGCATGTATCAGTACTTCATTGCTCTTAATGTCTGAATAACTTCCCATCCTATGGATAAACCACAATTTATCCATTCATTGTTTGTGGGTACATGGCTTGTTTCTATTTTTAGCCCATCATTTGTCCTAATAATAAAGTAAGGAAGACTGCCTCTTACTGAGAGCCACTAGCTCTGCTAAAAGCATCACCAAAAGGAGCATGTGACATGCCATCACATTTTCAAAGGACAACTTTTGGGCCCAGGGAAAAAATGGCACTGCTCTCAACTGGAGATTCAGGCTGGACAGCTGCTGGGACTGGACACCTCAAGGTGGCACTCTGAAGCTACAGGCATTAGGGGCCTGCTCCCCAGGGAGGAAGCACCTCAGGGTGCAGTCTCCCTGGCCCTGGCTCTCCTATTTACTGCACCACTGGGTAGAGTCAGTAGGCCTCAGGGATTGCCAGCCTCCTGGCATGCAGTGGAAGCTAAGCTGGGCCCAAAAACTGGGTTTCCAGACCTGCGATGGCCTGAAGACAACAGTGTCTTGATGACCCCTGGCATCCTTGTCCTGGATGGTACCATCTAACCTAGCTCACTGCCTCCTGCCTCTGCAGGACCTTCCTGTCCTTCTCCTCCACCAAGACCTACTTCCCCCACTTGGACTTAAGCCCCGGCTCCACCCACGGCAAGAATGTGCCATCCTGAGGGTGGCATCTGGTAATAAGGGCTCGTCAAGAAATCGCCTGTCATCTGCAACTGCACTGCTCACCCCCACTTTCAGCTAGACTGTTTGGGAGGCACTTGATGGGGAGGGACATTTAGTGTGACTTTGAAGGAGGATGACCTCCTTTTTCTCCCAACATCCCAACTCTGCCAGGAATCCTGGGAGTGCTCCCAGGTCCTAGCCTGGAGGCCTGCCAGCTCAGCAGCAATGGTGTGCCTGTGCTATACAATGTCAAGATGGAATAGGAATGCCTTATTTGAGTAAGCCTTTGTTGAATCTGCAAGGTTCTGGAAAGACATGCAAGGAGGCGTGAATGTGCTCAGGCAACACTGAGGCACGGCCGTGGCTTCACTGGCTCCACTCCCCTCCTTCACCCCTGCCCTCTCTTTCACCCTCCGTGGATAGATCTTCAGTCCTCAGTAGGAGGCAAGGAAAACCACCCCGCTCGTGGCACGGTGGCGCACAGAGGACCCGGGCCCACACGGGCTGCAGCCGCTCAGACTTTATTCAAAGGTCAGAAAGTGCAGGCGCGCTGAGCACAAGGGGGCCCAGGAAGGGGCAGGGGCGCCACGGCTCCAGCTTAACGGTATTTGGAGGTCAGCACGGTGCTCACGGAGGTCAAGAACTTGTCCAGAGAGGCGTGGACGGCAGGGGTGAAGTCCTCGGGGTGGTGGCTGGCCAGAGTCACCAGCAGGCAGTGGGAGAGGAGCTGTGGAGAGACCGCGTATCAGGGGGCACCGGGCACAACCGCGGGCGATCCACCTCGGGACTCTCGGCCCTGCCAGGAGGGTCGCCCTCCATCCCAGCTCTGTCCCGGCCGAGCCCGCGAGCTGACCTTGAAGTTGACGGGGTCCACACGCAGCTTGAACGCGTGCAGGTCGCTCAGAGCCGACAGGGCGGTCGGCAGGTCGTTCAGGTGGGCCACGGCGTTGTTCAGCGCCTCGCCCACCTTCTTGCCGTGAGCCTTGACCTGGGCGGAGCCGTGGCTCAGGTCGAAGTGGGGGAAGTAGGTCTTGGTGGTGGGGAAGGACAGGAAGGTCCTGCGGGAGAGGGCGGCGGTGGGTCGGTTAGGTGGGGATGGTCCAGGACAAGGACGCCAGGGGCGGTGGGGAGAAAGGAGGGGCCTCACCTCTCCAGGGCCTCGGCGCCGTATTCGCCGGCATGGCTGCCAACCTTATCCCAGGCGGCCTTGATGTTGCTCTTGTCTTCGTCAGACAGCACCATGGTGGGATCTTCCTGGGTCTGTGTTGGGACCAGAAGTGGGCGTTCGTGGAGGGCGCGGACTTTTATGCCCCGGGCGCGAGGGGCACGCCCGTCCGGGCCATGCTGGTTGGCGGGCGCGGTGCGGATGGCGCGGCTTGGCAGCGACGGCAGGGGGCGCAGGGGTCCTTGTGTCGGGGCCTGTTTGTGTCTCCTCGCACCCTCTGCTTCAAGCCAACTGCACCCACAGCCCATGAAGCATTTTGGGGCGGGCTGGTTGAGGTGGGTCGATGTTAGCCCGCCACTTGGGCTCAATGACACCCTTTAGGTCGCTAAGCGTCCCAGCCCCAGGCTGCGCTCTCCTCACGACGGGCAGGGAGCGCACTTAAGGGGGCACCAGGCACACCCGGGAAATGTATTAATTTGAGCAGTATCCGTGAATGAATGTGTGATTGAGCCCCGGAAGGAGGGAAGGCCTTTTCCTAGTACAGGACAGAGAGAGGTGCACACAGGAGGCCCTTGCTCACATGAACTCAGGAATTCCTGCCTGGAATCCCTCCTGATTTCTTTTAACCCCCTTTCTTTCCACAAATAATCTTGAGTGCCATCCAGTGCCAGTTGCAGGAGAAACAAATACCGAGGGGCAGGGTTCGCAGGCCTGGGGTGGGTGCTTCTGGCTCTGGCTCCTCTGTCAGGGTGAGGCTGCTGTAGCCCCCAGTCACAGACTCAGAAGGTGGGCTTCTCCTACTTGGGACCCCTGTGTGAATGTGTGAGTGGCTGTCTCTCCCCCTCTGGCCAGGCAATCATGGTTCACAGTGACACCCTATGGCCCAGTTGTGCCTGACCCAATACTTGCTAGGTAATTAGTGGTTGAATTGATAAATAAAAGAACTTGCTGATAAGACCTGAGCTTTCATCCTAGTTAGGGGCACAATCATCAAATTATCATCAAGGAGGGAGACGATGGGGCATTCAAGGGCATCATGGTTAGTGTGAGGATCGCTGTGGTCTTCCTGGAGGAAGAGACAGGAGGGTTAGTGGTTGTTAGGCAGAGTAGGGTGTAGGGGTGTCCCTGCTTGTAGGGGGCAGCTGGGGAGAAAGGCTTTGTGGCTGCAGAATGAGGGTGGGGAGATATGGGGCTGATGAGGCTGGCCAGACCCTGCAGGATTGGGGAAGGGAGGGACTCCCGCTGAAGTAGCAGGAAGGGGCAGGAATTCCAGCTGGTGCGGTCCCCTTACTGGTGACAAGTGGTGGTCCCTGGGCTAGTTGGTGGGAGGGGATACGATGAGGTAGAACATTGGAACTCGATGGAAAGAAAAGAGAGTGAGAAGGCATTGATATGTACCCTCCTGCGAGACTGGAGGAAGGCTGTGCTTTGGGGAGTGGGTTGGTGAGTAGCCTTCATTCCATCCCTCTGCCCCTCATCCCTCTCATAAAACCCTCACTCAGGACCTGCCCTGTATGTCCCAGAGGAAAGGATGGTCAAACTGGTTCTGACAGAGGAGAAGGCAGCTCCAGTGATCCTCAGCGGTGCTCCCGCCCGGCCGCACACCCCACCCTGTGTGCTCCTCTCCTCTCATCCCCACTGGACCCTCACCCAGCTCATCCCATTTCCCTCCTACCCTCCACCCATTTTCTGATTCTGTCCACAGCCTCAGGCCCAACCCTGGCTCTGAAAGAAAAAGATAAGACACTGGGGACTTAGAGGCACCAAAGATGCACCCGCTAGGTCTGGGACGACTCTCCCCTGCCTCTTGTTCTATCCCTTCTGCCCCCCTCCTCCCCTCAAGTACTTTTTAAGCAAGACTTTGGGAACATATCTCAGCCAATGACTTACATTCTTAATATGGGAAGAGTTCCACCTGTATAAGGAAAAGACAAGTAACTTACTGGAACAGTTGACAGAAGATATTAATAGGAAACTAACAGAATTATAGGAATTGCCATGAATCTATGAAATGAAACAGCTGAATAAACTGGCTTGGGGAGATGCAGAGGAGACGTGGTTCAGGGAGAAGAGCAGGCTGCAGAAATATATCTGCGGTGCGATGGTGTATTTGCCCACAAAAGTGTAGTTGCAGATCTAGCTCTGTGCCCGTCCGCATAGGATTGTAGCCGGTAGACTCACCTCAAGTGTGAACTTCTGCTGTTCTGCAGGGCAGGGAGATAGGACAGGGGCACTCCCCAACCCTGCTTTGAAAAAAAAGGATGTGTGTGTTTGTGTAAAAGTATGGGTGGATTTTAGTTTATTTTTTAACTGTTTTTCTACTTTAAATAAAAATGAGTTCTGCTGTGAGGCTGAGGAAGCCTGCATGGTGGAGATGGGAAGCACCTCCCTCCCTGGCTGTTTAGAGGCAAAATATCCAGAAGGAAAGTGGTGAGCCCCACTGGGGCTTGGCCACCCTTCTCAAATTTCCACCCGGCGCTGAAGGTTTCCCTGGGCCAGCCGGACTGGAGGCGCTGGTGGACGCCTGGGGGCAGATGTGGAGCCCGGTGGGCTTGCGAGATGCCTCCGTGGAGCCCTGCATTTGAGCACCAGGGCCTGGGGAGACCCCGCAGGCCTCGAGCTAGAGAATGGAGGGGGTGAGCTGAGGGGGGCAGGGCACACGGCGAACTTCCAACTGCGGGACCAAGGGGCCAGTCACCCCACAAAAGTGCTTCCACCAGCGCACCCCGCACCAACTTCCCCAGCCCCGGCCCGCGGAGGGTTATGGGACCTAGGAAAGGTGCGTGGAGCTGCTACCCATTCCAACCCACCATCCCTCTGGTGAGGAGGTGGGGATCTCATACAAAATGTCCAGTACCCAGGAGCAGCCTATTTTTGTGGTTTTGCTTTGATTTAGATCGTATGTTTACCCGGGATCAGAAAGAGTTCAAAAGAGGGTTTAGATCTTAGGACTCCGCACCTCTCACCCCTAAGAGGAACCCTTGGAAGTCCCGCTGCTCCAGGACAGGAGCAGGTACACCATCAGCCTTAACCCACACCCATCCACCATTCCTCCCTGCCAGGAGGTCCTCGTTCGGAGGCGAGGAAAACCATCCCGCTCGTGGCACGGTGGCGCGCAGAGGACCGAGGCACACACGAGACTGCAGCCGCTCAGACTTTATTCAAAGGTCAGGAAGTAAGGGCGCGCTGAGCGCAAGGGGGCCCGGGCAGGGGCAGGGGCTCCGCGGCTCCAGCTTAACGGTATTTGGAGGTCAGCACGGTGCTCACGGAGGTCAAGAACTTGTCCAGAGAGGCGTGGACGGCAGGGGTGAAGTCCTCGGGGTGGTGGCTGGCCAGAGTCACCAGCAGGCAGTGGGAGAGGAGCTGTGGAGAGACCGCGTATCAGGGGGCACCGGGCACAACCGCGGGCGATCCACCTCGGGACTCTCGGCCCTGCCAGGAGGGTCGCCCTCCATCCCAGCTCTGTCCCGGCCGAGCCCGCGAGCTGACCTTGAAGTTGACGGGGTCCACACGCAGCTTGAACGCGTGCAGGTCGCTCAGAGCCGACAGGGCGGTCGGCAGGTCGTTCAGGTGGGCCACGGCGTTGTTCAGCGCCTCGCCCACCTTCTTGCCGTGAGCCTTGACCTGGGCGGAGCCGTGGCTCAGGTCGAAGTGGGGGAAGTAGGTCTTGGTGGTGGGGAAGGACAGGAAGGTCCTGCGGGAGAGGGCGGCGGTGGGTCGGTTAGGTGGGGATGGTCCAGGACAAGGACGCCAGGGGCGGTGGGGAGAAAGGAGGGGCCTCACCTCTCCAGGGCCTCGGCGCCGTATTCGCCGGCATGGCTGCCAACCTTATCCCAGGCGGCCTTGATGTTGCTCTTGTCTTCGTCAGACAGCACCATGGTGGGATCTTCCTGGGTCTGTGTTGGGACCAGAAGTGGGCGTTCGTGGAGGGCGCGGACTTTTATGCCCCGGGCGCGAGGGGCACGCCCGTCCGGGCAGTGCTGGTTGGCGGGCGCGGTGCCAGGAGCTAGTGGGGGCGGGGTGTGTGTGCGCCCAAGGCTGCCGGCACTCTGCGCCCCGCGCTGGCAGCGGTTCAGCTCGCCCCGCACCCTTTCCTGCGGCTTCGGGGAGCCCACACAGGTTCTGGAGTCACCGAAACCCCTCGCGCGCCCGCGTTTGATTCCGGGCCTAGGGTAGCTTCGAGATGTCCATTTGCAGGTCGAGGAGGGGAACACAGTATTTTTCGAAGTAAAAAAAATCATGCTTTTTCACCAGACTTTACACGAGACCAAGAGTTGTAAATTTGCCGCGTAAACTCTGAGGGTGCAGGAGAAAACGTGAGGCGAAGTGCTCCAAGCCCACCTACCCCCGTGGTGAACAGGCGTCCCGAGCCGCGCGGGGTTCCTTGTCAGGGCGTGGCCAACAGCATCCCCTGCAGACCTGGGCGCGGGCCTGCCGGCTGGGCTCAGCGCTCCGCGCACAAACCCGGTACTGTTACCCCGGACCCGTCCTCGTCCAGTTTAGAGAGATCCTAGGGTCCTGGTCCCTGGCCCCTGTTCATTTTCTGGATGGAGAGCTAAGTTTCCAGCCCGGGGCCGCAGAGGGAAGAGGTCGAGCGAGGCGGTGCGGCGGGAGGCGCGCCTTGGCCAGGGCACACGCAGAGGCTGGGTGTTGGGTGGCCCTGGGCCTGTCAGACACCGACCTTGCATTATGATGCAATATCATAAATTGTTTAAAAGACCCAGCGAGGTTGGAGTTTCCTCGAGGGACACGTTAGGCTCAGACTGCTCAGGGCTACGCCCAGGATCTTACAGCTTGTTGGCGTGAACCGGTTGGAGCCAGGTTGCGGCCGTCAAGGAGTTCCTTCCCACCGCATTCCCCACCCCTGGAGAGTCTGGGGAAAGGGGTTGGCTTGGCTCAGGGCAAGGTTTGCTTCAGACAGAGGACCTGGGAGGGTTTCCGAAGCTGGAAAGGAACAGAGATGAGGGTCCGTGTAATCCCGGTCCCCAAACTCAGGCCAGGGTCTTGGTCCCTGGGACTCGGGTGCCCTCCTATGCCTTCCACAGAGGCGAAGATTCATGCTCGCAGCTCCCGGCGCGAGGTGGGGATGGAGAGGAAATGAACGAAGGAGTAGTGACCGCGGACGCGCTTTGCGAACCGCCTGGCAGCGCGCGGATGAAGCTGAAGACCCTCCCCCTACCCGAGCGCCCCTTGTACCCCACCACATTTCCCCGCCACAGAAGGACAACTGTTTTTTTCAGACCTTTGAGTGTTCACGCCCTGCCCAGACCCGAGGCTGTCAGTTCGAGAGCCGTCCTCATTGAGAGTTTGGAGCGCTCCCAGAGTCCCGTCCCCGGCCCTTGTTCCCTTCTCTGCGTCCTAAGATTCTAGAAGACTCCCGGTGGGACCCGGAGCTTCTCTGCCCAGCCAGTGACTTCAGCCCTCACGCTCCCCAGAGATCACGCACACGCAGGGTTGCGCCGTTCGAGGGTTGTTTATTGACATGCACACGCCCAGGCTCGTTGGGGCGCGGGACTCAGCGGTGCTTCTCCGTCAGCACCACGGCCACGCCCGTCAGGAACTTGTCCCACGCAGCCTGCATCTCAACGGTGTACTCGCCCTGCAGGTGGGAGGCCAGCACAACCTGGAAACACTGGATCAGCAGCTGCAGGGGAGGGAGCTCGTGAGGGGTCTGCTCGTCAGTCCTTCCAGAACCCCTACCCTCGGCTGCGCGCAAATCCAGTTGCAGCCTGGGGTCGGCTCACCGGGAAGTTGGCGGGGTCCACGCGCAGTATGCGCGCGTGCAGGTCAGCGAGCGGGCTCAGAACCGCGCGCAGGTTGTCCATATGCTGCACGGCCACGCCCACCGCCGAGAGCAGGCGTTGCCCGTGGTTCAGCAGCTGCACCTCATCAGGGTAGGCGCCCAGGTGCTTGAAGTAGATCTTGGTGCTGGGGTAGACCGTGAAGAGCCTGCGAGAGCCGGTGGGAGTGGGGAAGGCGGCCGCGTGGGGTCTCTCCAGCGCCTGCACCGCCCCTACCCACGGAAGCCCCCTTTTGTCCTGCCCCCCGCGGATTCAGGCGCAACACCCCTGTCTCCGCCTCCCTGCGATCCTGGAGATCCCGCCCCAGCCCACCTGAGCAGCAGCTCCGCCCCGAAGGGCGCCTCGTGGCCAGCGATCAGGTCCCAGACCCGCAGTATTTGGTCGCGCTCTTGGGCGCTGAGCATGGTTCTGGGGTGCCGTGCTCTGGGGACCGCGCGCGCCGCCCCGGCCTCCTTATAACAGCCCCCACCTCCCAGGGCGCCCCGCCCGTCCTTATCTGCCCGAGAGCGGCGGGAACGCTGAGACCCTTGGCCCACACGGGGAAATGTCGCCAGCCCGGGTCCGCTACCGAAGCGGAGGTCACGGCCTCGGGGGTTCCGGGCCACTGGCGCTGACTCGCGCTGCTGTGCGCGGGTGCCTTGGCTGCAGACTGTAAGAGGAGCTGTAATTACTATCCTGCGGGCAAAGTTCCTGCTTCGCCAGGAGGGAGCCAATGGAGGGATTGGGAGAAAGAGCGCAGGACAGGGAGCCCCCTTTTCCTGGAGGCGCCAGGATGGGGAACTATGACATCAGGTTTTGTGGAAAAGTCCGCTGAGTCCCGTCACATGCCCAACACGTTCAGTGAAACGAAAATCCTTGGGCGATTTGGGAAGTTGGGGGAGCGCAAACGCGCATCGGAACAGAGGAAACGGCTTGGGGCTCCTCTGCTACCTCTGGGCTGCGACTGTGAGGTCCGCAAGCGCAAGGGTCTCGCCAAAGCACCCTTAGAGTGGCTTCCAGGCCGGAGGTGACATCGGGCTCGACCGCGTGTCAATGCGAAGCCCCCACTCCTTCCTCCCTTTCTCCCCTCCACGTCCCCCAAAACAGAGGACGCCGGACACAGCTCACTCCATTCTGATCCATTTATTGGTAAGTCCCTGAAGGAATTGTGGGAGGGTTCGGGAAAGAAGAAGGGTCTCAGCCTGTCCCCGGGGATCAGCGGTACTTCTCGGTCAGGACGCTGGACACGAGGGACAGGAACTTGTCCCAGGCGGCGTGGGCCTCGGCGGTGAAGTCGGCCGGGAAGTGCGAGGCCACGGTGACCAGCACACAGTGGGACAGCAGCTGGGGGAGGGCGGCAGTGCTCAGGTGGGCGGGGGCGCAGGGAGCGGAGACCCCGCCCCCGCCCCGCCCCCAGCCCGGGCCTGCGCACCTTGAAGTTGACCGGATCCACGCGCAGGATGTAGGCGTGCAGCTCGCTGAGCTTGGCCAGCGCGCCCGCCACATTGTCGATGTTCTTGACCGCGTCGCCCAAGGCGGCCACCACCTTGGAGCCGTGCGCGCGCAGGTGCGCCGAGCCCGCGTGCAGGTCGAAGTGCGGAAAGTAGGTCTTGGTCTGCGGGTAGCTGGCGAAGAGCCTGCGCAGCCGAGGTGTCAGAGCTCCGTAGGGGGCGGGTTCTCGTCCACCTCCTGGCGGTCCGCAAGCCCCTCTCCGCGCTCGAGGACTCGAATGCAACCTCGCCGCAGGCCCAGATCCTTCTTGTTGCCTCTTGACTCCCAGGGCGCGCCCCACAAGCTCCACCTCTTCGCCCAGAGGCCCTCCTCTCCTCTACCCCGCCCACCGCTCGGCCTTGCCCCCCACCCCAACCTTGCTAATCCAGGCCTATGCTTCCCGCTGGTCTTGTTTTTAACTCGGTCGGCCTAGCCTACACTCCAAAGCCCACAGCCGTGGCCTTCATCCCTTCACCTCTCTCCCAGCCCTCGGCCCCGCCTCCTGCTGCACCTTTTGCCGGAAATGATGCCCTCTCCAGCAGCAGCCCAAGGAAGGTCCCAGGGAACCTCTGGCCACCTTCCCCCCAGGGTCAGGGGCCCTGATATTAGTCCCTTGTAGCGATCTGACTGCCTCCTAAGCCACCTCAGGCCCTGAAGACACGTGTCCTTCCCCGTGGGTGTGAGAATGTTCACTTTCTCCTGCTTGGGCCTCCCCGCCAGCCCAGGACAGGACCCTCAGATGTCTGCAATTTATCTTCCCGAACTCACCGACCTTCTCTTCAGAGAACCCCTCACCTCGCTGACCCCTCCTCATTGGCCCTTCCTTGATGACCCGTCCTCGCTGTCTCCTCCCTGCTGACTCATCCTCGCTGACCCCTCCTGGCTGACACCTGCTCATGGACCCCCTCCTGCTGCCCCTTCTTGCTGACCCCTCCTCACTGGCCCCTGGCCTTACTAACCCCACAACCCGTGTGGTACTCACCTCTCCAGGGCCTCGGTGCCGATGGCATCCGCCTGTGTGGAGATCTTGCCCCACATGGACACGATGATGGTCCTCTCAGCCCTGGTCAGGGACATGGCGGTTGCTGAGCTGTGGCTGAGAGTGCTCAGGACAGGAATCTGTGGTGCTCAGCACCCAGGATCCCCTTATATACACGGGGCCAAGGTGGGGGCCAGGCTCTGGCCATTGGTCCTGAGAAGGGAGAGGGTTGTGAGGGTGGGTCTCTTATCAGATCCAGTGACACTGGGCAGTCTGGGCAATAGGACTGGGGGTGGGGGGCGGTGAGGGGCTATCACTCAGGCCTCAGGTTCCAGTGAGATAGGGGCCCAGGCCTGGGCCAAAGGTCCATGTGTCAGCCCAGAGATTGGCTTCTGTGGTGATTTTCCCTGACCTCCCTGTCCTTGCAATAGAAGAATATCCTAGAACAACACCTCAGGCCCTCACAGAAGCACTTTGTTTCTTAAGCTTCTGCAATTCTACCTCATGAACTCCAGTTTACAGGGGAGAAAATTGAGGTCCGCAGAGGTGTCACAGGTGTCACAGGGTGAGTGATAGCCTTGGCTTCAGACCCTCTCCGACCGCTGCACAGCATCCCCTGGATGAGGTTCTGTCTGAGGTTGCCCCCCACCCCCATGCAGAGTCCCCAGCAGATGATGGGCGCTGTCTATGATGGGCGCTGTCTAAACTGGGCCCCCATGCTTGGAGGAGGCGGGACCCCTCACAGAAGCCTGGGGCCACGGGCATGCAGTCTGCCTTGCCGCCTCTCACAGCCTCTGCAAGACCCCTCCTGCTCTAGGCACCTCTTTATCCTCTTAGCTCATTCCCTTCCCTTCACCCCATAAGACAGCTTTCTAATTAGTTTAAAATATTCTTTTAGGTTAGTATGTGTTCTTGCAAAGGGTGTGTTTTTATGCATGTATTTTTTAGTTAAATTATAGCTTGATTTAAAAAATTATAATAAACATTTCCTAAGTACATCTTTTTTGAAATATATGATTTTTTAATAAGAAAGGAAAAGACCAGGACATACCATATGGTAATATTTTTCAAATCGAAGAAAGGGCTACACAGAACCACATCCAACTGGTACCTACTGAGTATCCCTAACTGACAACGGCTATTCTGTTTCTTTGTTTCTGGGCTCCCACATTGAGCACTGTTGCTAAAACCCTTACTTGAGGTGGGATCTGAGCTGTGGACTGCCTGAGGCCCTGCCCTGCCTTTGTAGCCAAGCTGGGAGTTTGGGGCCTCCTGGCAGAGTGGGCCTGCAGACCCACCCCAGAGGCCAAGCCTGGGTCTGGTGAGGAAGCCGCAGAGCTTCCCTTGCTGCTCCTCCTGTCACCCCCACAGCCTCGACCCAGGCCACCTCAGAGAAACCCAAGGGTGCTCCTTCTGCCAAGAGGGAGAACGTCAGTCAACAGCTCCGCTCCTGGGCTGAGCCTATGCTCACAGCGGGTGCCCTGTGCTGAGGACTGGCGTGTATGGCGATGTGTTCAGTGGTGCAGTTTCTGTTTGCTGTTGAGGCTGAGCATTTCCTACATGATGACTGGCAACTGTTGTTCATTTTCTCTGGTCAAATGGACATGGCATATTTCTGCAATTTGTTTTTTGATGCACACACGGTCTCCACACGTTTAGGCTTTTCTTTGTACATCTTCATTAACATGTTTTATGCATGTATTTAATAATTAAAACTTTAAATTAAAAATTAAATTCATTAATTGTAAGGCAGTCTTGGCAAAAGTACAGGTTAAGAAACAAAATTTCCCTTTTCACCTCCAAAGATAACCCTTTAAGCGTTTAACCCCGAGAGCTTCCCCATTCCAAGGTTGAGGCCTGACTGGGTCCTCACGTCCAGCTCCAGAGGGGACTGGTTAGTGTCGTGTCCTCAAGGGCTTTCTAAAAAGCCACTCTTTCTGTTCATAAAAATAATGAATGCTTCTTTTAGGCCTTTTGAGGAAGTCCCAGACTCTGGAGAAGAGTGAAAATCACTCATATCTCACCAGTCATCACTAACATTTTCACATTATTTTCTTTGTGTAGCTGAATTACCTTGAAAATGCAGCTTCATACACTGATTCCTTTCCCATAGTGAAGCAGCTGACCCCTGAGGGTGAACTTGAACAGCATCCTGAGAAGTTAAACCTGAAATGTAGACATAGGTTCCGAAATCAGCCTTTGAGGGTCATGTGGATGCTGCCACTGTCGCTGTGAGAAAGAAGTTTAGCAGAAATGATTTCCATGTCTGGGCTTGACATGACCATGGGATCACATTCAGGCCCCAGGCTGAGGAAGGGAGGGGGCTGCAGGAGACCGCCAGCCCCTCCTCTTGGAAAGTCCTCCCAGGAGGGGGCCTCCAGCCAGAATGCAGAGTGGGGAGAGGACTGGAGGGGCTCACAGTGTGCCAGGTCTGGGAAGAGGTGGCCTGTGGGATGGGGGAAGCAGCAGGCAGAGGTCAAAGCACCAGAACAATCAGCCTGGACAGAGCTTGGCCATGGGCCCCCAGTGCTGAGCTCCCTCCTTCCAGAAAGGAGACCTTGAACCCACAGAGGTTTAGGCAGGGCAGGGGCTGCAGATGGGACCACCCCTTGGCCCAAGAGTGCACTGGTGAGAGGGCCCAGGGAGGACTTCGGGAGGGCCTGATGGCAGGAGATACGGGTCCTCCTTCACCCCTGGGGCAGGCCCACAGCACCTCTCCTGTGAGTCAGGCCCTGGTCCAAGGTCTCTCCTTCTCCAGCCTCAAGCCCGGCCCAGGCACACGTCCCACCCTTTGCCCCGGGGGTCTGCACAGCCAGGAGCGCCCCTCATCTCCTTTCCTTTCCTCTGGGTGGTCTTGTCTCCTGACTCCCCAGACCTGTTCTGCTGTAGTTTCTTTTGGCACGGGGGTTCCTGGCGTGGTCCCAGGTCTGTCCCCCTCCATCTCTGTGTGCACTCCATCTGCACCCTGGGGACTCCTGCTGGCAGCATATCCAGGGAACTGTGTCTGGAACGGAGACCAGTCTTTCCCACAGAGGCTGTACCTCCCCTCTCTTATCCTTCCCCTGCCCTCTGCCTACAAGGGCAGCCCCATCCCTTCCTCCCAAGGTGCGGTCCAGAGACCACCTTCCTCTCTCATCCCTGAAACCTGCATGACCTCTCATACTCAGTGAAGGGAAGCCTCCTGCACACCTGCTTCTGCCCACCCAGCTCTGTTCCCGCCCTGTCCTCCTCCACCCACCTGGGACCTCTCTCCTGGAGGTCCTTCCCCAATGTCGGCACTCCCTCAAGTGTCACTATGTTAATAGGCTCATGTTGACCACCCCATTAAGAATTGTGACTGACCCTGACTCTCAGCCCTCCTATCCAATCTCCCACCTGCCCTACTTTTCTTTTTTCCACAGAAAAAAATGTTTTGTTTATTATCTTCTGGGGTGTTAGCTAGGGAAGCAGGGACAGTTTTGTTTACTGGCCTATTCCAAGCATCCCAGATGGCCCGGGCTTCCCAGAGCAGGCTCCCCAGAAGTAGGTGTTAAGAGAGAGGCCGTGGTCTTTGTGCCTCTCCCTTATGCTGTGTGCTGACCACCTTCTGAGCTGGTGACCTTGCTGCCCTGCCTGTCGAATACTGAACTCAGGGCCAAGAGCCCCAGAAACACCAGCCCAGCACCTGCCTGCTGGTAGACAAGGAGAGAGAGCACCTGTCCTCACAGAGTGGATAACACACTCGGGTCTTCAGATCCACCAGCGCCAATTTGGAGTATGATGGGCTGTGGGGCTTAGGAGAGAGACTCCTCAGGCCCAGGCATCTCCCCCATGCTGACACTAAAGGCCCAGCTACTGGCAGGCAGCTCAGGTACAGCCAAGCACGTGGGACCACATCTCACACCCTCTAGGTCAGAGTCCTCCCCGGAGAAAGGGGCCCAACCTGAGGGCACCTCCCCAGCGACAGAGTCTGCAGAACAGAGACCCCCCCAGGCCCTAAAGTCAGGTGAGCAGCAGGAGCAGCCTTGGGCAAGCTCACGGAAGCCCGCAGCAGCTGTATCCATTCCTCATGGATCACGTTTGACCACCTGTTCTGTGCCGAGCCAGCTCTGACAGCAGCAGATACAGTGGGGACACACGACAGAGACACCCACTCTCTGGAGCTGGCGTCCTGGTAAGGAAGGCATGTGATTCAGAACAAGTTGGTAAGGTAAGCACCCCAGGGAGAGGGAAGTAGCCCCTGATGCCTGGGTTGTCAATGCGAAGACTGCATTCTCCTGCGACCACGGCCCTGATGAAGAGAACTGTGTGGAGACACAAAGGAAAGCTGGACTGTGGAAACTGCAGCAACACTCAGCATGTGCCATCCCGGCCCACAGAGCCACTTCTGCGCCCGTCACAGCTCCAGCCTCCTTTGGCTCCTCTTGTCTCCTAGAGAAGAACTGTTGGGTACCTAGCGGCAGGAGCACTCCCACCTCTCAGCAGCATCCGAGCCAGAGCAGTGCCTTGCTTCCTTGGACCCAAATTACCCAACAGTTCCAGGTGGCCTCTGGTGGGATGGCGATGACGCTGGAGAGGAAGATGCCGGGAAGCATGGGGGCAGTGCGATGGCTGCAGCTGTGTATCAGTTGCTTAGAGAGGTCGCCAAGATGGGAGATTGCACACGTACTTGCAGGAGCTGGAGGAATAAGGCCTCAGATCTTTGCGGGAAGAGTGTGCAGCAAGTAGAAGGAATAAGCAAATATGGAGGCCTGAGAGAGGCCCTGCCTCTGCTGCTCAGGAGCCAAGAAGGCAGCCAGAGGCGAGGGCAGGATGGGTGAGGGTCCCCTGGGTGGACTGCAGTCAGATCTTATTGTTGAGAAATAGTATAATGATCCCCTCTACCCCCACCCCCAATCTGGATTCAATACTGTTAACTTTTGTGACATTTGCCTAGCTGATGAAATGGGGGTATATCTGAGCGGGCTTCAAGTTTCTTCTGAACAATATGGGAGTATGTGCTGAGCATTATGAAGCTGTGTCCACATGCACGTCAGCAGGTGTCTCCTGGAATGAAGAGATTTTACATATACAACCCGAGTCCATTGTCAGTCTAAGGGATCTTACTACATTCTTTTGC